CAATTGCAATACAGACCATGCCATAAGGCCGGACAGCTCAGGAAAGGGGCCACCGAACGGCCAAATCAAGTGGAGGACCATGAAGGTAATCTTGTGGACCGCAGAATTCGTGGTCACGTATTGGCAGAAATGTTCGAGCACACGCAATGGAAGAACACGAATGCAAATGTCCGCCCTATCTCCAAAACCAAGTTGGGAAGCGATCCGCCTGTCAAAACAAGCGCCTTTACAGTTGAAGAACTCGGTGGTACTCTGACAAAGCATTGAAATGGGAAAACAGCAGGCGCTGACGAAATACCGCCGGACTCTTGGAAGCGTGTACTGGCAGATGGGGAAGCGTTGGAGCAGTTGCTCGGTCTGTGCTTGCAGTGCTGGGACCAGACAGATCTACCAACAGATTGGAAGACGAAAAACTACCAGCCACCAGCTGGACTTTCCGTGGGATACAAAAATTGTGGCCTCTATGATCCATGAAAGATCCCAGAATGAAGGACCGGAAGAGCGGATGCAGAAAACACAGCGTGGGTTCAGGCCTGGCCGGAGCACTATGCAACCCATCTCCATCGTGCGCAGACTGGTGGACGCAGCCTGCGCGAGTTCTTCGCGTGGGTTTATTGACATCTCTTTGGACTGGGCAAGAGCAGCCGACAAAATCGAACACGATGCGCTGATTGAGGCGCCGCACCGATTTGGGATTCCTGACAAGACGGTTCAGTTCATTGACGGAATTGACAAGCAATGATTTGTCATCCTGGAGGACAAAGCTGGGGATTCCTCGACGAGATGTCAGAAAGCATGGATTGCTCAGGGCTGTCCGCTTTCTCCTTGTCTGTTCACTATTGTACAAGATGTCGTTTTCTGCGGCGTCGACCAAAAGATGGAAGCAGCAAGCCTGGGCATCCAAGACTCGCTATTCAATGTCACCACTGGACCTGTTACACGCTGGTGGTACCATGCTTGCCATCAGCGACACACAAAAACTGCAGCTACTGTTGGACACTGTCATCAACGAGGGAGCGCTGTTGTATGGGTTGGAACTTCACTGGGACCCAACAATTGCTGTTCGCATCGAACACGATGGCGGTATCTTCGATCCGTCTGGGAGCCCGATAACAGCAGTGGAGCAGACAATAGATCTGGGAGGGCTTATCACAGCGAATGGGGCAGCGCAGCCCGAAATGTCACGACGAGTCGGTGAGGTACAAAGTAGGTTTGAAGCTATGCAGCGTTGCTGGTCGCACGACAACAGTACCAAACAGAGAAAAATGGAGCTGTACATCGCAATTGTGCTCCGAAAGATGTTGTGTAAGATTGATTTCATCCAGCCGTTGCAGGCGGACAGACGACCCGTGAATGGCTTCAATACCCGGTGCCTTCGTAGAATTTGATCGATACCCTCCTACTTCGTTTCGCGAATATCGGACAATGATGCTTCCCATTGGCTTCACTGGCAAATCAGCAAAACTGTGCAATACCATTGCCACCCTTCCGCACGACAGCTTGCTTAGGGCTTTAACCGGCGAGCTGGGATCTTATGCAACGAGGGCGGGTTTCAAAGCGAAGACGCGGGAAGCCTACACGGATATTGGGCTGAGTGGATCCACAGACTGCTTGACGATTGATGCATTTAAACCCTCCCTCTCGCTTCCTGTTCCTCCTTCTCCTCTTCGTCCCCTCCCCATCCTCCTCTCCCTGCGTTTGCGCTTGGTAAAGATGCAGTCTCTCGTTCGAATAATGTGCGTCCACCGGACCGCCTTTACGAGCGTAGGTCGGCAGCATCGTCGCCGCATTGTCTGGTCAATTTGCTTACCTGGAATTTGTGAGCCAATCTTGCTCTTTTCGATTCCCTACCGATTAGCCGCTGTCTGGCGCCTGCCTTGACTGACTGACTGACTGTGGGGCCAAAAAGCCACCCTGCGCACCAACCAGGGCCCCTTGATCACCAGGTCGGGAGTGGGGTCCTGGCAGGGGGGGGGGGGGGTGTGCTGCCCTCAGAGCAGGAGCTGTAACCGCAGGAGGGAGGGCCGACCAGTAAGGAGCCGGAGGTCTGAATGACGACTCTGGAAACCTGCGCGATCCCCTGTTCAGAAGGGCCGCGCGCCGAGTGGGGGAGAAACACCTGGGTATTGTGAGAGAGCTAACCCCAGGAAGCATTTAAGAAACCCCCCGGCGATATCGTAGCACCGCATTTTTTATTCGATATTCCGAAGGGCCGAAATAACCGAACGATAGGTGTAGCACCCGGACACGGTGATGATGATGATGATGATGATGATGATGATGATGATGATGATGATGATGATGATGATGATGATGATGATGATGATGATGATGATGATGATGATGATGATGATGATGCGGATATGGATGATGGTGCGGAAGGGTTATCGATTTGCCGGAGGGGGGGGGGTCTTAAATGCTTCCTGGGGTTACTCGTGCAGCCAGTGAGTCCTCCTTCTCAGACGAGACCGTCCAACGGCTCGTTTTCGGGGCGCGCGTCTCCCGATGCCTCCCGATCTCCCGATGCCTCCGGAGGCTTCTGGAGGTCCCTGGAAGCCTCCAGAGACCCCAACAAGTCCAAAAGGGGCAGAAAGCCCGCCAAAGGCTCGGTCCTGCCAGCGCAACAGGCGTTCGCTCGCACTCTCGCCTTGAAGCTCTAGCCTGGCTGCGACTGCTATCTCTCACGGCTGCCCGCGCTGTCCAGCTTCGGCGCCGCCGCAGAGGTGAAGAAGAACTGGGAGGCGTTCTTCCCCGCCTCACCGTTGCGATGCGCCATCGAGATGAGGGCAGGGCCTGGGCAGAGAAGCAGAAGGATGGGGATGTGGACCAGGAACACAGGGAGGGAGGAGGAGGAGGAGGATGAGGAGGAGGAGGAGGAGAAGGATCAAACGGACTTTCAAGCGTTAGAAGGTCTCCATGGGTCCTCGGAAGCCTCCTGGGCCGCCTCGGGGCCCAGGAACGACCGAAAACGCCAGAAACAAGTACGGTAGCGAAATTCCGCAGCAGCACCTCTGGGTGTTCTTAAATTCTTTGATGATTCAGAGCAACGGCCCAAGTTGTTCCAGCGCACATACACGCCCAAAGGTAGAGCAGTACTACTAAAGACGAGGGCAGCTGCTCCCTTCAACAATCACCTCTTGAATATCACAGTTATGGAGAGGGAGAAAGAGGACGAGCAGAAGGAGAAGGAGCTACGAATCAAGGCACTGCGGGCACTCCCCAGCCCGACGCACGCGTCTGGAGCTGAGTTCGATGTCTGACCGGACGCACTCCCCAGGATAGGGAAAAGGAGGCATGGTCTGATCTATGTACCGCCAGGCTTCCACAACTCCTTCCCGAACAGTGCGACCCAGGCACTGAATGTCTGAGGCAAGCGTCGCAGGCCTCTGACATCGTGCTGTTTACATGCAAATGTCCCGCGAGTTCGGCCTGCGAGCGCGGCCTCCCAAAATCCCCAAAACCCACCTTCACCCCCAGCCCAGACCCCCTGGATCATCAGGTCGGAAATGGGGTTCCTGCCTGGGGGTGGGGGTGGGTGGGCTGTGCTGTCCTCAGGAAAGCTCCTGGACTCGAATCACCATGGAAGCGAACTCTGGCACTCGAACCACCGTGTGAGCGTCGAGAGAGAGGCGGTCGTACGCACGAGCACGCGGCGACCTCACGCGGTGTCTCACGCGGGCTGCCAACGCGGCCCACCGCGTGGAGAAGTGCGGCGCTTATGCGCGACCCTACGCGAGCAGCCCACGCGGCGCAGAAGACCCCAAAAAAAATTACGAGAACTACGCATGCACCGTTCCAGGCCAGGCGGCGTTTACGCGCGACCATACGCGGTCAGCCCACGCGGCGCGCAAGACCCCCTAAAAAGGACGAGAACTACAGAAGCACCGTCCCAGGCCAGGCCCGTCCTGGGCCCATGACCCGCGCGTGCGACCTCCTGGCCACACATGGCATGTGCATGTACTGATCCTGGGCCAGGATGGGCCTGGCCAGGACCGACGCATGTGCATAGCTATCGTCGCCCGTCCCTCTTTGGCTGTGTCTCGTGTGAGAAGGCCTGGTGTGCTCGCTCTCGTTCTGTCCGCCCGCCCCGCCGCTGCCGCACGAGGTGCCGACTGAAGCGCCGCCGGCGCATTGAGACGGCCCAGGGGCACGATCGTGCTTGAGCTTGAAGCTCTCGTCCGGGAAGCAGGCGTCCCCGTCCTTGAGGGAACCCGAAAATACCTATAGCGCTGATCCCCGGATCTCTCCAGGGGTGCGTTCTGACCCGGATTTCGAGGCGAATCCAGCCGTGACGACGCGGGCCTCCCAGGATGCCCACCAGGGCGAAAACGAGGCGGCAAGGCTAGCGGTATATCGGTACCGTTTCCTCCTCTGGCGTCCTGGTTGTAGATGGAGTCACCGCCCGTGCCGTTGCCCTTCACGATGTCGCCACCGAGGGAGCAGTGGGGAGGCAGAAGACGCGGCCCGTTGGACTGCAGAGGGCGGGGGGGGCACCGACGCCCCCTCTGGAGCGCGAGCGCTGACGCGCGAGGTGATCAAAAAACGACCGCCTCCCCCTCCCGCCAGTTCTCTGGACCTCTCCTGGGGCGCGTTCTGGCCAGAGCTTCGAAGCGAACACAGCCTCAACGACGAAGGCCTCCCCCAGGAGGCAAGCGAAAACAAGTACGTCAAAATATCTCATTCGTCTCATCCTTCTCATCATCCTTCCTCCTTCCTCGTCCCTCTTCCCTCGTTCCACCTCCTCCTCCTCCTCCTCCTCCACCTCCTCCTCCTCCTCCTTCTCCTTCTCCTCCTCCGCCTCTTTCTCCCAGCCATTCCTAGCTCGTCACCCCTTGGAGCCGGAAGGGAGCCCAGCCCTGGTGGAGCAAACTTGGGAGCGACATCGCTCTACCGAATCATGGCCAATTGGGATAGTTGGGAACCACCCAAGTGGAGCTGCATGGACTGCTGGAGCTTGCATCCCACCTGCTGCTCTTGCGGGGCCAAGCGCCCAAAAGAAGATGGCGGCAAAGGACGCGGAGGCTGCCGATGAGGCAAAGGCGGGCGAGCCGCTTCGGACGCGGAGGCAGGTCTGCAGTGCCGAGAAGGACGCGACGTCGGTCCATGAGCGGCTTGCGCTGCTGCACAACCGCTTGCATGACCTGCGAGCCTAGAGTGAAGAGCCATACATGAATGCCTCAAACCGAGACTGGCGGTTGATCATCCAGCGCGGGAAGTGGATCAGCTGCAGGAGCAGAAGAATATGTCCATCCCGATCTTCCTCACAAGGAGGTGCATGTTAAGGTGCATAGATCGAGAAGCGACTACAGAAGTTCGCCAAGCAGCAGGCCGAACTCGCCAAGCACGCAGAGGATAAGAAGAAGCTACAGACTGCGACTACGAAGATCAGATACCTCGAGCGCAGGGCTAACCAGCTGGCCGCGGCGGGGCAGCCTGCCGTGGCCGGCGCCGGCAAGGACTGGAACCTGGCAGTCCAGCACCTCACGGCAGCTGTGGACACCCCGAAGAAGGTGCACGGGGAGGCGGCGGCGCGGGCCCCTCGTCTCGGGAAGGGCAAACAGGCACTCGCCCATGTGGAGCAGAAGCGCCAGGATGGCCGTGACAGGGCCAGGCACATGCCGTTCCAGCGCAGCCAGCGGGACAGGGACAAGGCAGCGGAGACAGTCGGACCCCCCATCCACCAAGGCCACGCGAAACCAGATCAAGGCAAAACCCACGGCCATCGGAGTCCCTGGTAAAGAGACCGAGGCTCACGCCGCTAGCCTGGCTTCTCTTCCAGCTGACGTGGACAGCTGCACCTTGATCTTCAAGAAGCAACAGTTGCCATCCGAATGAGGCAGGGCAGCGCCAGGCCTGAATGGGCAAACGCGGAACACAGCGATTCATCATTGTCACGGCAAGCACGTGAAAACTAATTGATCGAGTGCTGGAGCATTGAGTACATTACGCTTCGAGAGCGGCTATCTGCACTCAAGAACTGCATGGAGCAAGTTCAAGTACGCACAGAACTGGAAAACAGCAGAAGCTGTCTCCAGCTCCAGGCAACGGAGGCTATCGCGCTGGCGTGGTTATCCTCGTCCCGCGACACCTAAGCATGGATTACATCGGAGGCGCCCTCATCGATGGGTCCTGGGGCGCCTCACCACAGGAGTCCACGGGCAGGCGGGTGATCACCTGGGTTGGCACTGTTTCGTCGGCAGCGCTGGCGGTCGCAGTCGCGTCTGCAAAGTCGGCGGGCCGCGCTGGGCACTACCGCCGAGAACACGATCCAGAAAATTATCACGTAAGAAGAATTCTGGTCCAACTTCCCAAAGCCTTCTTAGAACAAGCCTGGGCCGATTCCTACCATGAACGCTGGAGGGCGAACGTGCTTAAGAAGCTGGGCCAGCTTTCCAGTAAGCTGGCTAAGGAAACGCTGGCCCAACGTTTCGCGAGGTTTCAGCTGTGAAAAGAAGAAGGCGGCCGCAGAGGCGGACGGGGAAGGAGTCGAGACGGAGATCGACTACATAACTAATTCACCCCAAGATTGATTTGCTCGTCGAATCCGTGACAAATTCGTATAAGGTTTGTAGATCTACGAACATCCTGAGTATGGCTCGACGAGAAAACCACCTCTGGGGTGGATCGATTAATGTTGTCGATCCCCCTGCTCGAAGGATGCCCGAAGAAGCCGAGAGTCGACGGGAGGGCGGCGCCCAGGCGGCCTCGGGCACTAGAAGCTGGTGCACTGGTCGGTAGAGGCGTGCAGTCCAGTCTGTGCGGTGGCTGCTGGCTGGGGCTCCGAACGTGAACCTCAAGAGATCGCCAAGACTGGGAGGAGGAGGAGGAGGAGGAGGAGGAGGAGGAGAAGGAGGAGGAGGAGGCGGGGGAGGGGGTGCGGTTGGAGGAGGAGGGAGGAGGGAGGAAGGGAGGAGAGGGAGGAGAAGGAGGAGGAAAGGGAGGAGGAGGGAGGTGGGACCCTCGACCGCGTGGGGACCAACTCGTCTACGACAACGGGAAGGGCACGTGCAAGGTGCCGGAGAAGCCTGACAGAGTCGGGGACTATCTCTTCGCCTCCCACTCGTTGCTGGGGACGGGCGCAACGGCGCAGGTCCTCACCGCCTGAGGCATCGAGGCGTGCTGCGCGCCGCCTGCGCCAGTCCAGGTGCAGCTCGGACGGCGAGCGCCTGACCGTTTCGTTGAAGTGCTGGCTAGGCCGCGGCGTTGGCCGCTGAAGATTCCAGTCGGCTGCTGCCGAGAGCCCCTCAAGTGGCCGGCTATGCTGGACGAGACGGATGCGTTGGGCGGCGGTGGAGGGGCAGGGATAAGCGCTTATCCCCGCCTCTCGAAGGAGACCACCCAGGCCAACATTCACGCTAACTGAGGGCAGCTGGCGAACACCTACGAGAAGAACCTCAACAACTACTTAACTACGAGGCCTAGGATTTCGACAACCGCGCGGGCCTCTTCGTCCGCTACGGCACCAAGTGGGTCCTCCTGAGGCCGCCAGTGCCGTGCAAGCGTGGGGCCCCCATGCGAGGCCACGCTCGCTGCGGAATGAGTACACGAACGACTCATGCACTTGCACGGCGCAGGCCGCGCGAAGGTCCAGGCGAGCCACGCGAAGCTCATCCACCCAGACTTCGGCATCTTCCCTGGGGACTGCCCGTGGCTAGCCGTCAAGGGCACCATGCTCAGCTGTGGCCAAGCAATCAGGACGGTAGCAGCCTGCCAGAGCTGCATCGAATACTACGCTGAAGAGGCCAAGATTGCCGACGCACTCGGGAAGGACGCGCCGGGCAAGTCTACACTGGCCTGGCGAAAGTGGGTGCAGGAACACTCCGACGGGGGCGGTGGACCGCTACACAAGTGGACAATGTCAAGCACCCCTTGGCAGCCGCTGGCGCCCAAGAACGCTGGCAAGAATAAGCTCAGGATAACCGTGCACTCCCATGTCACCGCGGAGAGAGTCCTCGCCTCATGAGGGAAAGTATGGTCAGAAACATTTGACTACGACGCCCAGATGAGGCCTGAAAAACGACGAACGTGAGCGAGCCGGAGCTGGATCTCATCACGGTCGAGATGGTGGCGCAGGCACGCAGGTGGTTTCAGCCAAGGACGGCGTTAGGCATCGCTCATCGGCATCTTCTCTTGTGGATCACGGGCGAAGCGGAGGGACTGGAGCGCGTGACCGACACCCTCACAGCGATTGAGAAGGGTGCCCCGTAAACATCCTCCCAGAGGGACTTGAGGTTTTCCAACGTGTGCAGCGCCCTGAGATATGGAATGAAGACAACAACATATTGGCAAACTACGCGCAGCGGATCATCTGAGACAGCCGCGTGGCTGCATTGCCTGCAGGAAAGGGAAGCAGCAGTGCAGGGACAAGCCTTCGAGCAAGTCAATCACCAAATGCTTTGAAACGCGGGCATCTACTTGGGCTTCTCAAAGCGCATTCGGGGGGTGATCCTCCAGGTCTACTGGGTGACGCGCATCGTGATCCATATGCTCCACAGATAAGTCGCAGGAAGAAAGGAATGGGAACAAGGATTGGTGCCAGGATCGGTGTACGCCCCAGTGCGTCTGAAAACGGTCATAATGCGGGAGCTCGACCTCGTCTCCAGCACCTGTCGTGGCATCGACTTGCACACATGTGATGACGACCTCACCTTGGGACGGGGAAGAGCGCAAGGTGGCCTTGGAGAGCGCTATCGCCGTGGATAGTGTGATCTACAGGTTCGAACACATCCTCCTAGAGCCACCAGCGTCACGTGGCAAAGATGGCAAGATTGTTACCCTTGAGAACTTGAGGGCATGATGGCATTGAACACTGAAGGCCTGGGAGTGCCCCATGTTCGCTATTCTGTTCACCTCGAAGTCTTCGGCGGCTGCTCGGAGAAGGCGTCTATATAGCCACTGTCTGGTGTAAACCCCGGAATTCCAGACTAGAAACTGCAAGCTGAGGCGGCTGAGACGAGCTGGAAGCGGTGCAGATGATCGTCTTGGCAGCCCTGGACCATCAATGCACACAGTTCATTTACGATCTACAAACCACGAGCGCCTGCACATTGTCTCGGCTTGTTCCGTGCACGCATGAAACAAAGTTGCACGCTCAGTGGCTCGGGCGTTGAGGGTAGGAGTTCGGCATCGCTGGTTGAGTCTTCGTAGAGCCAGGGCGCTCCCTGGTCAGCAAGCCCCTCCCCCTCTAAGAAGTGGACCGCAGTGCCCAGCCTGGTCTGCAGGAGGCCTCGATAGGCAACCGCGCGGACTTGCTCTCGCGTGGGCCATACAATGCACTGCAGAATGATGCTATGCTTGGTGCGATCGAAAAGCGAGCACAACGCACCCTCATCATCCTCATCCTCCTCCTCCTCCTCCTCATCATCATCATCATCATCATCAGCATCATCATCAGCATCATCAGCAGCAGCATCGTCAACATCATCATCAGCAGCATCAGCATCATCATCCTAAGCCTCATCCTCATCATCATCGTCATCATCACCAGCAGCATCATCATCGTCGTCATTATCATCGTTATCAGCATCAGCATCATCATATTACTCTTCTTCATCATCATATTCGTAATCATCATCATCATCAGCATCGTCAGTATCATCATAATCATCATCATAGCCATGATCATCATCATGAGCACCTTCATCATCAGCAGCATCATCAGCATCATCAACATCACCATAATCATCACCGTCATCGTCATCACCATCATCAACAGCAGCAGCAGCATCTTCATATTCATCTTCATCTTCATCAGCAGCAGCAGCAGCGTGAGACGGCCGACTGAAGAGAGCACTACTCAGCCGCAACGCCAAATAAAGATATGATAGAGGCGGGAACACCCTGCACGCTCTTGCCGGGTATGATCTTGTGAAACCTGCAGCCCTTGTAGTGCAGGGGCTTACCTGATGCGTGCTCGTACCCTCCTTCTCACCATCCTTCCTATCGGCCTTCCCTACCCGCTCACTATCCTACTCCTCAAGTTCCTCATTCTCCTCCTCCTCCTCCTCCTCATCCTCCTTCTTAACCTCGTCTTCGGCATCATCGTGTTCCTCCGCCTCCTCCTCCTCCTCCTCCTCCTCCTCCTCCTCCTCCTCCTCCTCCTCCTCCTCCTCCCCTCCTCCTCACTTACCTGAAACCGCGCTCGTGCCCTTCTCGCCGGTGCACAAGCAGCGGAAATTCTCCACGGTGATGGGGACGACATCACCAAAGAGCTCAAGCACTATTCTGCCCAGTTTGCGCTTGTGGAGCTCTATCTCCAAGAACACCTGGCACGCAAGAGGAGGGGAGGCGGGGCAGCAGGAGTGCGTGAGCAAGGGTGCGACGTTGGGACGGCTGCGGCGTAAACGATGCCGCTGCTCCCACCAGCACTGCACAAGAGCAAGGAAAGATGAGAGGAGATCAAAAAGATCGATTTAGCCAGCGATGCACATCACTGGCACGAGGGAAATGGGGGCCTGAGGAAGGCGGGTCCTGGACCACAGAATCTGGAATCGTTGTTTTACGGTCCCATGGCCCGGGCAGGGCACTGGGAATCCGAAAACTGCAACCTTTCCCTGAGAGACATGGTGAAAAGATGAGAACACATCCCGAGATGACCAGAGCCTCAGCCAGCGGGCGACGTATGGATAGCCGACTGGCCCCGTCTCTCACCCAGAAGGTCCCGACCGGAGGAGATCCGAAGAGGCCCAAATGCACTCATACAGAAAGGCAAAATGTCTGTTGGCCGCGCGAACCCGTGCACATGATGGCCATCATCGGAAGATTCCCCGCATACCTCTGAAGACGCGAAGACATCGAGCCGGATTTGTTGTCGCGGTGCTCGGCGTCTGGAGACCACTTCTGGACCAAAAATCAACTCTGGATGAAAATCTGGGCCTGGAGAGGGGGTCGAGTGGTCAAGGAGCTGGAGACTCTCAGAAATCAATTCGTGGGAGGTTTAGGCTCTGGCACAATTACTACCTAGCCTCGCCTGGCTGCTTCTGCCCCCAGTCATGCCCATCCTTCTCTTCCTCCACATGCACGTCAGAAATATTGTAGGCTCACCTCGCTAACCGCTTAAACTCAACTCTAAACTCTCTTCGCCTGGGTCGAGTGCAGGATGGATTGCTCGCCGGACACACTGCTCCGCGTCCTCTTCCTGCGACCAGGATGCCCACCGTTGCCACGCTCCCTCCTGGCTCGGGGTCCATGGTTCCGCCTTACGCTGTTCCCCACATCATCCAGGAACACCCCTGTCGGCCCGTGGTTTTCCGCGGCATGAGGCATGTATCCCCTGCCGCGAGGGCTTAGTTGACATTACCTTCCGCCGGGTCCCCCGCCTGGCGCGCGCCTGCGCATCCACAAGTTCTCCTCTCACTCACAAATACTTTACATGTTCGTCTTCGCCGCAAGCTACTCGCAATGTGTTTTTTGTTCGCGTGTCTCTAGATTGATAACCGCCCAGGCCGGGTCGCGCACCAAATCCGATCACGGCGGAGGTATGTCGGAAGCGCTGGTCGCTTGCAACATTACTGGTGCCCGTCGGCGGTGAGTCGCGGCTGTGCTGCTGGTGATGGCTTGGTCCTACAAGCTTCTCTGAGTCGTGGGCTGCTGGCGAGATGCGCCAACGTTTCATGTTAATCGCGCGGCGTGTCATTGGTGTCGGTGGCCGATGACATGTGTTACCGGTGTCAGTCTGCCAGTCACCCGTGGGCTGTGTCGAAGGTGCCCGCGCCGTCGCTCTGCGGTTTCATATCATCCCCATTTCCCCCATTCCTCTTTCTATTGTCGTATCCTCCCACGCTCCGTTTGACCGGGTCCAGATGCATTGACTCGTTTTGCCCGCAATGCCCGGCCCCCCAACTGCGACCGTGTAAGGGTCGCGCAATTGCACTCAGGACGGCATGGCCCGGGTTCCCAACTCACTGAAAATGCCCGGCTTTACGCACCACTGGATATCATGATTTGTCCGCGGGCCCGTGGAAGTGCTTTGGGTCCCCAGAGGCCCACAAGACGGCAGAGGCTCGCGCTGTCAGAACCATGATTTTGACAACGCGCGCTGTCCTGTCGCCAGGGACCCCAAGAGGGCTCCGAGGCGTAAAAATTAACGAACCTCCTGGTAGCCATCAAAATCCACTGCCCTCGTGGGAGCCTTTTCGTCGTCCACGGAAAATGGCACATCCAGGGCCCCAATCCGGTTCCAAGAGGGGCCGAAGAGGAGTCAAAACGGAGTCGCGCGAGAGGGCTCTCGCGTGAATTCGTCTTGACTTATCCGAGGCCCCTCTTAAATCGAGCCCTCTCTGGGCCTGTCGAGACGTGACAATTATTGAGAGGCTCCCGAAGGGCCCTGAGAGGACCCTAGAGGGCCCCAGAAGAGCTGCCAGAGGGGCCAAGAGGAGTCAGAACGAAGTCGCACGAGAGCCCTCTCGCGCGACTTCGAATTCACTCCTCCGAAGTCCCTCTCAGCGAGCCCCAAGAGCTGGGTCACCTGACTTCGCGCCTCGCGCCCCGCGATGTGCGACGAGCGGGCTTCTTGGCGCCCTCGCGCCGCCGCCCTGGACAAAAGGCGCCTCTCCAACCCAGGCCGCGAGGCGCGCAGCGCGATTGCCTTCGCGCCCCCTGGTGGTGACCTGGAGAGGAGGGCCCCGAGAGGGGGCTCCGCGAGGGGCCTCCGAGGAGTCCGAGCGAAGCCCGTCTCTCGGAGGAGTCCTCCCTCGGGCCGAGGACTCCGGGAGGAAGTCCAGGGAGGAGTCCAGGAGAAGTCCAGGAGGAGTCCAGGACTCCGGGAGGAAGTCCCGGGAGGGAGCCCTGCCTCCGACCGCAGGCGACGAGCCCCGGGGCGCGCGGCCGCGGCGCCCGGGAGCGGACGGGCCACTGCCGCCCGAGGCCCGCTCTGCCCCTCGGGCCCCGGACGAGCGGCAAGCGGCCACGGCGCCCCTGCGCGCACGCCCGGCGGCCCCGAACAGTACGAGCGGGGCCAAGCAAAACCAGCAGAAGAAGAAGTCAGAGTGTGAGTCATGATGGGCGCCACAGCGGCCATCCGAATGCACGGTCACAGCGTGAAGTCAGAATGTGCTGTCAAAATGTCTCCTCCTGCTGTTTTGTCGTAGTGTAACAACCTAGGCATTGTCATAGTAGAAAGTCCGAATTGTTTGTGATGATGTTTAGTCCCGCCTCCTCCTCCGAATGAACATGCGCCCCGTCACTCCTCCCTTCTCCCCTTCCTCTTCGTCCTCCTCCTCATCCTTCTGATCCTCCTCATCTCCTCCTCCTCCTCCTCCTCCTCCTCCTCCTCCTCCTCCTCCTCCTCCTCCTCCTCCTTACCCTCCATCCTTTTCATTTTCCTCTTTCCTTTTCCTTTTTCATTTCTTGTTCCTGTTCCTATTCCCGTTCCTGTTCCTGTTCCTCCTCCTGCTCCTCCTCCTCCTACTCCTACTCCTCCTACTCCCTCGGTCCGCCAGACAACTGAGAAATATGCGCAATGCGAGATCCCCGTCGCCCCTTCCTCCTCATCCTCCTCG